ATGGTGAAATGTGTGAAGCAACATAATATGTAAAGTAGTGAACATAAACTGAAATTATGACTGAAATGTTTTTACCAGACAAATCTGGGAAGGTGGTAACCTGTTCCTTAGAGACAACGGACAAGCTAACACCTCTAGCCTGGTGTCATCAAAGTTGATTGGCAAATCACCCATCAAGTGGCCATTTGGCAGCGAATGGGAGGCAGGAACAGATTGATCTGCAGCCAGGTATAACTATGAATTTGCATTGGTATAACTACATCACTTGAGGGTGTGAAAAAGCCACACCCCGGAGCGATGCAGTTAGTTATACACCAGTGTAGACAGAGCCATGTCGATGGGAGGGCTTCTCCTGTCAACATAGATACCGCCTTTCATGAAGGTGGATTAACTATGCCGCCAGGAGAAGCTCTCCCGATGGCATAGTAGTGTCATCACCAAAACGCTATAGTGGCGCAGCTGCACTGGTGCAGTGCTTTAAGTGTAGACCTGCTCTGCGTTTTAACAAGCAACAACATGGAACCTCTTTCACCACAAGATGCCATGTCTCTATCCTCACAGTGGGAAGGAAATTTATCTAGGGGTAACCTCCGAAAAATGCATCTCAAAGGGTGACTGGACTATAAAAGTGAGGGGCAAAAACACCCCAGGGATATATTTCTTTCTCTCCCTATCTCTCTCTTGCTTTGTTTCACCCAAGAAGACAAAGGAACCAGCCCTTTGACTTGGTGTGGGCATCGTGACCTGAGAATTTGGTCAGCCCTGTTGCTGGGAACTTGGGATAAGGATTTTACCTTGAACCAAGACTAGTTTAGTTTTAGCTACTAGAGAGCATTTTATCTGTATTTCTCTTGTAACCATTTCTGACTTTAATATTTATAGTTGTACTCACTTAAAATCTATCTTTTTGTAGTTAAATAAACTTTTAATTTTTTTAACCAAACGTAATCCAGTGTTGTCTTTAAACTGAACTGTTTGGGTAACTCCAGTTAAAGTAGCAAACTGTTGGATAATATCTGAACTGTCCCGGAGAGGCTGGACAGTGCAGAACACCCATTTTGGGGACAAGCCAGGACTGGGAGTGTGTTGGGGTCACTGCAAGTAGTAACCAAGTACTGCTGGAAGCCAGTGTGTGGCTGGTGTTTGCTGACAAGCTGCTGGTGTCAGATGCTGGACCAGGACTGCAGCTCCACACAGATACTCAGGAGGTGACCTGCCTGCTGTTTGTGAGTGGCCCAGGTTGGGAGCTACAGCAGCAAAGCATTGTGAGGCACCCAAATTTGCAGGGCAGGTGGTGACAGAACCCCACACTGGTCTGGATTGCACCCCAGAATGTGACAAGTAGGTTTTCACTTGATGCCCTCTCCCTCTCTGCTGCTTTCCCTCATTCTGTTTCCTCTTCCTTTTTTTTTTTTTTTGGTCACAATCTCTTTTTAATATTTCGTTTCTCACTTATTCTTCCTAAGTTTTTATTTCCTGCAAAGCAAAATGGCGTTAACCTGTTATCACTAACCTGCAGGCCAGCCAGCATGTTGGTACTCTCATCATCTGGAACAAATTGAACCTACAAATGTTTCCCTTTGAAGTTTTCCACTCGTGCACCTATTGAGTAAATTCCTCTTTGTATGCACTTTTACCATTTTTCAGCAGATGCAGATTGGAGAGTTTTTCTTACTGTGGTTAATAAAATATAGGCCTTCAGTAGCTGATTTAAAGGCAGAATATAGATACATGCTCACCATTTTAAAATACATTGTTAGATATGAAACTTATGTTTCTCTTTGCTCGTATTGATAGATCTATTACTCCACAATAATAGTAACTCACATTTTTGTCTCTGCATGCTTATTTGAAATGCAGTGCTAATGAATAGCTCTGTATTTTTCCCCCCAAGCAAATTTCCTCCTAGTCTGTATGCTCTGGTGATTTCAGAGGTCCATCACGATGAAATAGCCAGGGTTTTTCTGGTGGCACTGGACCCCCCCAGCTTCTTCCCTTCAGGCCTTTTCTGGAGCAGGTATTAAGTGAAAAATTAGGTAGGTTTAAAAATATTACTGCCTGTGTTTAATAGTACAGTTGTGCCATCTCTCAGGAATAGAACAAGGTGTCTTGACTTTTTGTGCTTCACTCGCTATACAACACTTCTGCATATGTCAAAAAGTTGGTATCTTATTTCTGTGGAGTAGTTTTAATAATGGATCCTAAGTAATACTTTCAGGTACTAAAGGATCTTCAGCCAATTACAGCCCTAGGTGGGGTGAACTTTGCACAACTCATAAAACAACATAAAAGGTTCTTTAACTCTATGTTCTGCGTGCAGTGAGAAAATTGCATTAAAACACTGATTTATTATATTGAACAAGTCATATTTTTAGTTAAGATGCCCTTCTGACACACAAGTCGACGCAAAAGTGGGCTGGCTGAAAATTTTCTGCCAAAACTATTTTTGGTGGAAAAATTCGGTTTTTGATGACCCCCCCCCCCCCCAGTGTCTTTTCTATGGAAATCTTTTCATCAAAAAATTACATGTTTTTCCCCTCTGGTTTTCAGCCAAACCCAAAATATTTCAACCAGAAAATAAAATATCTCTGAAATCCTGCCACAGTGCATCCTGGAAGTTGTAGTTCAGGTGTCTCATGCACCCATTCTCCTTTGTGTGCTATACTGGGCTACCCCAGCCAGCCTTCATCTTCCCTGATGCACACTGTGGCCATGCAACTCTCCTGAGGCTCTCATGAAGAGCGGAGAGTATGGTGCATCATGGGAACTGTAGTCTGACCACAGAGCCAGGGCCATAAAGGAGCATGAGGCACTCTAACCTCAACTCCCATGAGGCACTACAGTAGCATTTCTGAATCAAAATTCTTTGCTTTTCTGGATAAAAT